AACTATGCGATAACTCAGGCAGCATGTTTAAACAACTGGATGTAAAGGAACTTTTGAACCAATAAGAAAAAAGCTTAAAGAGTAGCTTAACTGCACTGGGCTTCATTAACTAGTGGCCTCTTTGCTTTTTGTTTCTGAGCCTATTGAACTCCATGTGGCTCTCCAGCCCTCTAAAGCCATCAGCGTGAGCTTCTCCTCGGACTAAAAGAGGCGGAGGGCTGAGCGACAAGGGTCAGGCGTGACTAATGCAAGAACCTGTTGCTGCTGTTGGATGCTACTAAGCGGGGGTGGGTGGGACGATATGCCATGGCCCGCTGTTGCCACATAGAGGGCAGCACAATAAACCCAGCCGCTGTCGCCGCCCCTCCCTGTCTGTCACCCCCTCAGACCACCCCCACCCCCTTCATCCATTCATGGCAGCTCCTTTCAGCAGGTCATTCAGTGGGGCCGGTAAAGAAGCTAGCTCATTCTGTCCGTTCTGAAATGTGCAATGTCAGAAAAAGGGAGAAATGGTGGGGGTGAGATTCCGAGGAGGCTTAAAGAAGGAGAACAACTAAAGAAGACCGAGCTGGAATCTCCTGCTTTGAATCAGCAGGCAGTTTGTGTTGGGAATCACCTCCGAAGCATGACGAAGAGAAGAGGGAAATGTAGCAACACTGCAAATGCAAAGGAATTTGCATTACTAGTGTTGTAAGACGCAACTTAGTAGTGGCCACAGGCATCAAATAATGACAATCTGTCACAAGATTGTGGCCACAGCAACACCGCTTTTACACACTGTTGTCATTTTAGCTAAGTCTTTGCTTCCAGTTTAATTAGCGTCTGGTTAAGGGGCGAAAAACTTCTTGATTAGGCTCAGAAAAAGATTGGGGTGATGAAATAAATTAAATAAATTCAAAATATGAATGTTCATCCTTCTCAACATTAAACCTGCTTTGCATCTTTGTACCAATTTGGACTTGGGCTGTGGTGAATCTTTACCCTAAGCATTCATGCTTGTGCGTGCTGTTAATTACCTTGTGGTCATGTCCTAGTGTTTCATGTGGTACCAGTCACAACAGAAATAAAGAAAATCCTTTGGGGTATTTTTTTCTGTTTGTTTGTTTTTCCCTCCTGGGCCCTTCATTTTTGTTTTAGTCAA